GACACCGAAAATTTAAAACTTTCTGCAAAATACAACACGAAGTAACCTTGGCTCAAAACAAGTGTACTGTATTCAAAAAGCATATCTTGAATTTCTAAGTCTGCTTTTAACCGTCTATAATGCGGGGTATTCTGAGGCAATTCAATAAGGCTTCGACAGCAAACAGTTCGATTCAAAAGTGAGATAATGTATGTCCACAATTTCATCCGTATTCGATAGGTCGCCTTTTCCAAAAAGTTCAGAATACCAGAGAACAGAGATAACCCAATAAAAAGCCAAATGCTTTTCAAATCTGCTTGCATTGTGCGGTACAAGAGTATGACACCACCTCGGATAAAGTATACTAGGACAAAACTTCGGCCGGGGTCTACAACCTCGGAACTTCGTCTCAACGCTGTGTGTTTACAAATCGCCGCAGGGACGATGATCAGTGCCGGTGCGATCGCAGCCACCATGAATTTATAATTTTCTTGTTTTACGCTATTAAAAAAAGGCACTATAGAGTATCTGTAGATAAATGCCACTGCAGAACATACAATGAACTCTGCTGAAACTAAAGCAAAAATATGACGCTTAGAATAGGACAATGTATAATTTCTCGATCGGTTCGCTCGGATATTGCGAAGGACGACAATGCTACAGCAAATTATGCCAGAAAAGAACAACACATTTCCAGGAATTCTGTAATACACGCTCGTATCGTAGACACCAAATACTAGCAAGAATAAGTAATAAATTATTGTCATTCCTGCGAAGATAAAAGCAACATAAAAAGTGGACATAAACCTCAGTTTAAACTCTTTCCATCCAAATAGAATTACCATTGTTAGCGGAAACCAAAGATTGATTATCACCGCTTCAACACTGTCACCGATGACGCGTAGTCGTTTTACAGAAAATGGTAAAGTGTTATTGTGATACTGCCACTCCAAACAAAGATCAGTTGTGTTTAAATCAACATAAAGAAACGCCATTATGACAGCCGTTGACGGTATCATTGCAACCGTAACAGTTAGTGTTGTAAGCGAACTTTTCGAAATCGACTCCCAAAAACTCCGCCGCTCAGACGAAACACCATCAAGCGTTGTATAATCTGTTAACTGTTCGTTGGTATGAGAGTTTCCGTATTCTTTATTGATATAGGATTGCCATCTGCCATCATCAGCCTCTGACTCTTCCGTATTACTTGTTGGGTTATTAATCAGAACTGGAAAAGATACGCTTTGTGTTTCGTCCAAGACAAGCGAAAATAATGACAAAATCATGCCAATTATTTCTTCCAACATACTGGTAGATTGATATAATTTTAAATCACATACTTTGCTGGACCACAGATTGCTGTTTCTGTTTAATATTTTCCCTGTAAAGTTTCGAATTTCCATGAACAGCACTGTATGACGTTTGACGAAGCGTCAAATGACAAACGCTTTCTTTTGTATTAAAGAGGCCCTGTTAGGGTTTTAGGATTACGGATTATTTGGGATTCTTGGGCAGGATTACGGATTATTGCTATAATAATAAATTAAATTAATTAAAAAAAAAAGATTATGGATTATTTGGATAGGATTTTAGGATTATTGATATTGCAAAGATCATCTATTTTTGCTATTGAAAATAAAAATAAGAGGTACAATTTGCAGTTTGTAAGAGGTCATATAAGATGCCAGTCAATATCAAACCTTCATTATACTAGATACACCATTAAAAGGTGCTGAAAAATTCCAATTATTGACCATTTCGCACATTTGAGATCGAACACACGCGATCTTCGCGCAAACACGCACAATCTCACAACTTGTCAACAAGATGTGTTCGCAAAAGGCTTGTAGCAAGCTTGTCTACAAGTTGTAACAATGCTGTTATTTTATCAAGTTGCTACAAGCGGGGGCGTAAATGTGGGGGGAGCGGGGGGGGGTGTGAGGGGGTGGTTCACCTCCCCAGAGAAATGTTCCAGTCGGTCTCAAACTACGTGCAGTCGGTCTCAAAATTATGCGTTTGTTTACATGCAGTGCTTTGCGAAGCAAATTAAATATTTTCGAAACTCGAGATAGACTCAGACTATTGAGTATTGAGTTGGAAATTTGCTCAAACTGATCAAACAGCTCAGAAATAATATGAAGAAATATTGACATACTCATTTCGCGAGTTTATGAACGAATTATCAGTCAAAACACGCGCAAAGGAATGAAGTTTCATTTACTTTCCAAACATGGAGATATCTATATGTCACAATTACGTGTTTGCACTTTCATTTGGAATTTAGGTTCTGCAAGGTCATTCACGGGTGATATTCTACATTAGCGAAAATTTCAACCCTCCAAAATCAGACTCCAAAATGCGATGAATCTCGATCAAAATAGCAAACATTAGTTACAATATTTCTCCGGTCCCTAAACTATATTTTTAAGATGCAAAGTGCAAAAACGAATTTCTAGCCGAGTTATATTAGGAAGTATGTTCACATGTAACACGATATGCATATGCATTTTGTTACCAAAGAGTTTTATGTGCCTACTGCAATCAAGAAATTCGCCAGTGAACGACGCACTGGTTTATCTGAAATCCCGGAGCGAAACATTGTTTCCACTGACTAGGCGATGTTTCCAATGGACCATTTGCATTACTGTATATTATACTAAATTTTGATCTAGACAAAAATTTCGTCACAGCTTGAAAGAGCATCACAAAATTAGTAATATTCCAAAGTTTCGTTGGGAAATGTTGTAAAATGCGGATAATATAGCCCTGCGAAATTTGCAATTTTCAGTCATTTTGTATTACAAACGGGAAATTGATGCCCCAACACCCGACTGGGCTGTCAATTTCCCGTGCGTGATACAAAATGACTGAAAAACGGCAAACTTCGCATGGCTATATTATCCGCATTTTACAACATTTCGCAACGAAACTTTGGAATATTATTAATTTTGCGATGCTCTTTCAAGCTGTGATGAAATTTTTGTCTAGATCAAAATTTACTCTATAATGCAAATGGTCCATTGTTGCTTACAGTCAGGCCCATAACTAGGTATATGAGTCAATCGAGTTCAACTGTTCAAGTTCAATGACAGTCGACAGACTGTAGTTCTCTCTATGTTAAGAAGCATTATTCTTGCCCTACAGTGACGTAAGAAATGGGAGGCTGTGTGGGTACACAAGTACCCCAATAACAAAAGTACGGGCCAGCGCCCAAATATTAAAACAATTGAGCACAAACACTTTTTTACTATGCCACCTGATCAATGATGTTCGACCAAAAATATTTGTAATTCTTAGCCTCAGCTGGATTGGGGGCAAACTACAGTATAAAATTATAGTCATTGTGTCACTGTTTGTGAAATTAATATTTCGTTTGAACTGCTCCCAGAATGCAGGAAATAGCGTTTCTAAGCCTTAGAAAATCAAAATTTTTCTGGGGGAGCACGCCCTCAGACCCCCCTGAAGTGTCTTGGCCAATCAAAAATTCTATGGTTACGTGTCTGACAGTTCCTGTAACATCCGCATCAGCCGAACGCAGCTTTTCAAAGCTGAAATCATTGAAAACTGTTATGCGTTCAGTAATGAACCAGGAACGCTTCGGTGAACTCTTGACTCTTGCGTGTGAGCGCGATCTAACAGACACGATCGATCTTGACGAAATCGCTATCCGTGGTCAAACCTGACTAAGCGCGGACACTTAATAAAAATATAACGTTTCACAGCAAACTGTACGTGTTCTTGCACAATTCCTAATAAATGCCATCAATTTCCATGATTTTACTCAATTTTATTGCAACACACCAACTCACCAATAGTCGGTCTGGATTCACATAGTGGTGGGTCGGTCTCATTTCATGATTAACATGCTCCCAGTCAAAATCGATATGTCCGCTCCTTGCTACAAGGTTGTCACTCACAACTTGTTGAAAATTGTTGATATCAAGTTGTTGGAACAACTTGTAACAAGTCTGTTGAGCTCAACAACCTTGTAGAAAGTTTTCAACAAGCCGTTGACAACTTGTCAACAAGCTGGGAACAAGCAGTGCCAACACATCCTGTTGACAAGTTGTTGGAACAGCATTGCTACTAAAGTCTGCTTATGGTCTGCTGCAGGTTTGTTACAACTTGTGCGTGGAATAATTTGACTGTTCACATTTCTTTAAATTATTAAAGGGATATTTTTGTTCATAGAAATGGGATACGGATTATTTTTCAATTTTTGCTAGGATTATGGATTATTCAGACCCCCCCTAACAGGGCCTCTTTTATCCCTCAGAAGAGATTTCAAAATAAATTTTAACTTTGAAATCTTCTAATGGGGTGTTTATATGGAGGTGAGCCAGCCCATGCACCCGAGCTAGCTCTCTTTGCTGAGCTGATTTTATCCCATGTTTGCATTAGACCCTTGAGGTGGGCTGTCTTGCCAAAACAAATCACTGGTCTTACCGCTATAAATAGTATAATATAAGTAAATATATTTTTATTTTCCAAGATCTCACCTAGGCAGGCCAGCTCGGTTCCCATTTAAACGCAAGATAAATGTTAGTATAAATTACATAGCAATGTTAGATCTCGGCAAAGCAAGCTAGCTCGGGTATCTGGGTTGGCTGCCCTCCATATATAAACACCCCCTAAGAAAATAAAGAAATGTTATTTATATCAATAGATTGATGTGAATTATGTATTAAGTATTTAATGCCCAGCTGTTATCCAAGATCTAAGGCTTGGAAAAGAGTCTTGGCCAGGCAGGCCAGCCCAAGAGGAAAGAAGGTTTATATAACTAAGGCATATTGGTAGGTAGTGATGCCAGATTACTTTAAGTTTCTATTGTCTGCCTGGTCAAATATAAAATATCCCTGAATCTCCAGTAGTTCAGTTGGTAATTAATGGCAGCTCAAATAGGATTAGAGCTTAAGGTGATGATGGATCATGACAATATGTTGTATTAAATATTTTTTTACCCATTTAAACCTCAAATGGCTAGATCAATTAATGTTTCTAGGTGGCATGACTTTGAGATTTGCTTGTGTGAATATAGTTTTTTGCTCAGCTGCTTTAATTGTTCCAGCATGCCCATGCTTGCCTCAACAGTCTCACATAAATTGAAAACCAAGCTAGGCCGGTTGTTATATTGTAGCTGTAATAATTGGGGCTATGTCCTGTGCAGCCACCATTTGCTAATGTAAATACTTAAATAACAATAAAGTAATTAAAGAAATATAGCTAATTTAGGTTGGGTTAACTCCATATAAACCACTGAGCTATAATATTACTGGAGGAGGTGCTCCTATCTCTCGTCAGTCAAAAAAGTGTCCGCGAAAACATGGCGGATTTTCACGTTTGCTGACGCCATATGGTTCCTCCGGCTCATGGCAATTACCACTGACCAACCGCGATCCTAAGCATCCGACAAAGACCTTCGCCCCCCTGTTTTTGCACAAATATTTTATGTTTTCAAGACAAAATCATGCCGTTTTTCTCCACTTGTGGATGCAAAAATTCGCTGTAAAGACTTTAAAAGGAAGAATATTTCTTCTGAAAGGTAAGATTTGTGAAAATTTTAAGTTTTTACCTTTTATTCGACAAATTTTCGATTGGCAAAGTCAGGGGCCGATATGCGTATAAAATCGAGGTATAAATATGTATTTGTCAAACACTTATATTTTATATTTACACCAATATTTCTGGAGCAGACATAAAAAACGTTGTACATGGTTATTTATACATTGTGTACATACATTTTCTTTCTAGTTTCAGGCACTGGCTTTTGTTTTTAGTGCCAGTTTATTAGTTTAAAGTCTTTAAACAGCATGCTGCTCATGCAATCTGTAGTTTGCTTTGTTTCATAAAGAGCAGTTAGCACTAGATTTATATACAGTATAAACAAGCTGTATTGTATCCTTCACAAATATTATAAACTGCTAGTCTTGCTAGGTTTTGTATCAGCATTTACCAATTGGCTGTAATTTAGGCTTTTTTTGTGGGGTTGTGCACTACATTTCAGTTCAGCATCGAGCTATCATCGACTTGTGCATACCCAAATTTGCATGATTTATACTTATATCATTCTTGCATTGGCATTACCTTGAATGCTAGTATGGGTCAACCTGACAACCTCTATGCCTCATAAAAATCTCCAAACAAAAAACCTCCTTCACTCAGAAAATACCTCTGTCATGGGAGTCTTGATTTATGTTTAGCCATATTTATTTAGGTCCCTTAGAGGTTAACCCATTGAGTCACATTGCACCCTACTTTATTATTTTACTCTGTCTGATGCCAGATGATTTTACTCATCAAGTAGAGA